TTTTGGCAACGTGCCATGCCTTCTATCAAGGAATTCCAATCAGACTATGTTTGGGTGATGACAAGGGGGTAAGGAATAGAGCGTGGACCAGTGCCGACCAATTTCCATCGAATACGTACGCACTTGAAATCCACTCAGAACCATTGAGGCATGCAAATTAGTTGTGGGTATTTCTTACTTCCGTGCTTATACGTACGCACTTTTTTCGGTAATCGTTTTGTAGCCTAAAGATTTCCACGTAAATTTCTGCGAAAATGTGCAAATCGGCACGCTTTCGATGGATTGTTGGCGTGTGCCATTAGGTCCGATTTTTCTTTTCATGGTTTTCTGCTGGATACGCTTTTGGTTTCACAAGTGAGGGTCACAGCTGTGGAAAAGGTAGAGTGACGTTTCTGAGGTGATGAGTCTCGTGTCATGATGTCATGCAACGCATACATTACTATCTATGCTCTCCGCCGCCTTCGCCTAGGCGAGTGACTAAATCGAAAACCCGACCAACAGCCACCTATGCACATGGGTAAAGGCTTCAGTTGGCAACAAACAAAAGCCTTTCCTTCACTGAATGTCTCATCACTAACTTCAAAGTCACGTTCCAGAGAATACCTGGTCCTCATTTTTGAGCGAAGAATTTCAGAAGGGAGCAGCCATGCTGCTTCTACTCGACCGCTTCTCCAATAATGCAAATTATCCGAGCAATATCATCAGCACCAACCTTTTCTATGAGTTTTTTTAACTGTCAAGGAAGATATTGATTGGTTTATTCCTTCGTAGGCGAGATGATTTGGTGAAAGGATGAGTGGGACAGAAGACTAAGGCATCACCTAAGGATTGATATTCGAGAGTATCTCTCTATTAAGACTCAAAAAAAATCACTCTGTCGATAGGAAGGGGAGTGCCGAAGGAGTCTGGATGAGGCCTCGAGTACGGTATTCACTGGTCTTTGTCCACCTTGGGAATAATTAGCGAGTTGAGCAAGTACATTTGTTCAGAAACTTTGTGATTGATTTTTTGTGTTTTATGGATATTTTTGATCTAATTCGGTTCCTTTGATCATTATATTATATTATTTGAGGAAATAGATACGTATGGTCAACTTGGTCGCTGCCGGAATAGAGGCAACGGTACCCTTAGGTGGTTTTGAATTCACCGTTTTCACTGTTGGATTATTACCGGTATTTCTAAGCATTGGACATCTCAATCATTTTATCAGCGAACATCTTTATAGTTCAAAATTTTTGCGATTTGCTCATTTTTTCTTTATTCGTTTTTTTCTACTCTCCATTAACACGAAGGTCAAGAGCATGAAAAGGAGGAAAAGGAAGTTATTTCTCGAGGAAAAAACATCACCTCATCCATTTGTTATGTCAAAGTCACTCTTACCGTAACGCTTCCACGGCCATGCATACGGTGACTAATACAGTACGCATGGCTTTAGACCTCCTCTTTCCCCAAACGACATTGTATCCAAGGAAGTGTTCCAGCTGTACAGTCTGCTTGATTCGATCTCTTATCAACCAATGAATCTACCAAAGAAGCCTTTTCCCCTGAATCAGAAAGGAATTACCCACAATATCGATCGCAGCACGCGTGCCTCATGCGTCGCGGTATTGGCGATCGCTTATCGCAAGCGGGTAAGACGCTAAACTATTGCGTGCTCCAACTCCAACTATGGCGCATTTACTTAAAAATTAGCGACCATTCCTTATTAAAATGACGTTGCTATTCTTTTATGCAAATACAGAAAATTGATAATTACAATCCATTGGGAGCGGTTTCGTCAATCTGGCTTGTAAACCATCTTTTACTCGCTTGACCCTCCATACTTTCTTGAAGGAAATCGTAGGGGAAGTTACGAAACTTTTCGTGAACCTTCTTTCTCGTGAGTAGCATGTCTCTCGAGTACACCAAAAGGACACTTCAATCATGACCAACATTGATGCAATTGAAGCTAACCTACTTGACGAATGTTTTGCTGATTGCCTTGATGCTAAGGGCAGCTTCCACAACTATTACTTTGTCAGGAACATAGTATAGGGAACGGAGTTCGATACGATTTCCTAATTTTCACGATTGCATTTCTCTTGCTAGGCAATGTGTTTGGATCTTCTCTCAAATCTGGCTCATTTCAGATGATCAATGAATCCGAAACAGAACTCACCTGTCATCGTTACGTGGACGATCATCCGGATCTCACTAACGAATTGGCGGTGATGATCATTTTTGCCGTCCTCTATGTGCATATATTCGTACTTGGCATTGTCGGAAATGTTGCCGTATTGTAAGTATCTTTTCATTCAAGTATGTTAGTGCAGAGGGTAAAGCGGTGCCAGGGATACTACCACGTAGATAGCATGGGGATCGGATCCCAGATCGATATTGTTCTAAGTGAACCTAAACTTCCGTCTTTCCACAGCCAGGGAATCG